GGTTAAAAGACACTATCCTCCCAATCAACCAGCACACCCGTAGTGCAAAACCGCACTGCATCGCATCTAAAAAGCAGATTAATAACACGTATGACCGCCATCCACACCCCCAAGTTCAGGTTCATACCATAGCCTCGCTGTTTATATAAATGTGAAGTCTTTTACATTGTTTAGTTATTTAATGTTATAAACATATAAGAGGTACAGTAGCCTCTAATAACGCCTTTAGCAAAAACGATTTAATTATTACGTGCACAGTAAATTTAGCTGCAATTTCATTGTCCAAATGTCCGCTAACAATCTCCTGCTGTTGTTTGAAACCGTATGTAAACACTGTGAATAAACTTATAATAAATAGGTCTATATGAAATAAAGTTATATAGACATTCACCTGTTTATGGTCAATGGAGGCAAAGCGATCATTTCTAACTTAGAAATCAATTCTGTGGTGCACTAGTGATTCTTCTATTTATTCTCAAAGGGGAATTTTTGCATGTAAACACACCTGATATAGCGTTATATTGAAGTTATTTATAATTGAAGTCCGCGTATTTGTTTGACAACAGGCGGACCTGATAGCCTGTTTTACTTTGGGACACAGCGCTTCGATACGTCCTCAAGCCCAGCGATACACGGGAATTTAAGATCTTTCCTCGGACTGATGGAGGAGGATTCCCGCGGGCTCGAACCCAGCCCGAACCCAGGCTGCGCATTGCCGTCTATTGGCGCAGAAAGCGCTGCTCCTAACGCGGCCAGTGCCTGCATGCTGTTCCGCAGCGAAGCACCGCGCCGCCTCGGTAGAAAAGTGGATGGGCAGCGTTTTTAAATAGCCTCACTACGCCGAAGAAGCTTGATTTATTTCAATAATCGATGAAAAACACACACGTAGACAGTTATTCCAACAGATGAATCAGTACTTTAAGAGCGTTAAATCAATTCTCCAGCATAAAAATTTAGTTGTAAAAAAAGGAAATATTGAAACACGCTCAGCGCTTTCGAGAACAGTGATACACAGAGACCGTGCGGGGCTTGTGTGCGGCTCACTGCCCGCGGATATACAGTATCCGAAACTGCCGGGGAACTCCCCCGCAGCAGCCAGAAGTGCCATACAGAGAGCTGAGTCGTACTTTAGCGAACCTTGCTGCAACGCATATGAAATACAGCAAAACACGCGTCTCCTGAAACAGCCCGCACTACCGCAGTCACCAAGAAGGGCGCCGCGCAGTCCCCCGCAGCAGCGCACCCTGCCGTGGTCCCACACCCCTGATTTGGGGACGCAACTTCCTTACCAACGCCTTTGGCGTCCATCTGCCCCCGCTTTGCTCAGTGGAGACGGGAAAAGATCTGGATAGATGCGCTCTGTCCGATCGGGACGTGCGCCTCCTCTTCAGATACGGATCCAGATCCAGTTGTCCTGCAGAGCTGCAAGGAACCGGCCAGTGGGTCACGTTAGGAGTGCGTTCAGAGCACTTTTTAAAGGGGCGCTGGGGTGGGGATGGGTTCGGTCCGGATAGGATTGCGTGTCTGTGAGTGAGGAATCGCTCCTTACCTGTGTTCGCAAGCTCAGGTCGGAGCTCTACTCCCCCAGTAGTACTGCAGCTCCCCCGAACCGCTGGGGTGACGTCAGGAGCCGTGGCTCAGGGTTAAGGTGACAGATTAACGAAAGTGCAGGGGCAGGGGTGATACATCTCCATGTGCGCTTGTCTCCCGTTATCACCCGCGGCGTCACTGTGTGATCGGCGTGTTTACACCCTCCTGCGCCTTTGACGCCTGTGAGCTCTGCCGGCGAACCAGCAGCGACGCATCGGATGTTGCCATACATCACGAGCCAGTACCTCTTCCTACAAGGCTGCCGGCGAAAACTGTGCTATTTAAAAACTTCCTTTAACCCACGAATACATAAAAGAACGAACACAAATCTAAACCAATAACTTGACAAAAACAAACATTTACTTTCTGTTTACTAGAAAAACGGTCCCATTTAAAGCGACATTCAACATTAGAACTTCTTTTAAGTACAACATGTAGGAAAGTTCGTATTAAAATAATTCACTCGGGATTTAAGTGGATAAATGTAATATGTGTATGTTCACCTGTATGGGAAATAAAAGGCTCTCAATAAAATCACTTCAATTTTATTTATATGGCCCTTTTAACATGAAGGATTGTCAAGGAGCACAAATCAAATGCAGTGAAAAATCAGAGATGATATAATATTTCTAACCTATCCATTAGCTGATGGAATAGGCAGTCAGCATAACACAGGACACGGAAATAAAGCAGTACTCACGTTTCCTCTGTGCTATAAACAGAAATGCTTGATGCGATAAAACGCGGAGTTCAGTCTGCTTAATGTCCCAAGGTAGGATGGGGACTAACAATGACACAAGAGCACATCGAGGGGTTTGAGGGCACCTTGCATGTATTTATTGTGATTAGGGAAAAATGTTCACAGCAGTACACATTTCTCTCTCGGGAAAACAGGGTTACAGAACCCAGTGGAATATAACACATATGCATACTCCAATGAACAGGCCAGGTCATTTGGCACTTCTGGTATCACAAGTAAGTAGATTGTTTATATGGTTTCGTTAAATAGAGGGCACACCTCTCACATTTTGGTCAGCCCAACCAATGTCCAAGGTCCCCAAGATCACTGCTACTGGCCAGGGCTGTAAAAGGCCAAGGCAGTTAGACAATAAAGATGATTTAAAACTAGAAGGAACATGTGGGTGAGCAGAGCAGAGAAGAGAAGAGATCACTCCCCCAAGAGAGACAGACTGTGTAGGTGAGCAGAGCAGAGACCACTCCCCCAAGAGAGATGGACCGTGTGCATGAGCAGAGCCGGGCAGAGATCACACCCCAGAGAGAGTGAGAGACTGTGTAGGTGAGCAGAGCAGAGCAGAGATCACTCCCCCAAGAGAGATGGACCGTGTGGGTGAGCAGAGCAGAGCAGAGAAGAGATCACTCCCCCAAGAGAGACAGACTGTGTAGGTGAGCAGAGCAGAGCAGAGCAGAGACCACTCCCCCAAGAGAGATGGACCGTGTGCATGAGCAGAGCCGGGCACAGATCACACCCCAGAAAGAGTGAGAGACTGTTTAGGTGAGCAGAGCAGAGCAGAGATCACTCCCCCAAGAGAGATGGACCGTGTGCATGAGCAGAGCCGGGCAGAGATCACTCCCCCGAAGAGAGAGAGACCGTGTAGGTGAGCAGAGCAGGGCAGAGATGACACCCCAGAGAGAGAGACCGTGTGGGTGAGCAGAGCAGGGCAGAGATCACACCCCAGAGAGAGAGACCGTGTGGGTGAGCAGAGCAGGGCAGAGATCACACCTCTGAGAGAGAGACCATGTACGGCCAAGCAGTCAGGTCGTCACATCCAGCAGCCTGTGTCAGAATGAGCTCTGTGGGATGGGCTTCTCGTTTGCTGATTACATGACTTGACATAACCTCACATCCATTTACCTGCCATGCCGTCTACCCAGTAAACCGTCCCAGCAGCAGGATTGTCAGGGCGGACAGGAGGAAGTAAGCGGTGAGGTGAATTATGGCTGAAGTTATTCTGGCAGACTAGTCAATAAGTACCAAGTGTGGGTAGGCAGGGGCGTAGCTAGGCATTCTGGGCCCGCAGACAAAATGTCACCTTGCGCTCCCCCGGCAGATTTTGCTGAGCGTGGCCCCTTTAAAATACTGAGCCCCTGAATCTGCCTGGTCTCCATTCTCCTCTGACACCCCTGTATGTAGGTACAGGTAGACTACGGTGAACAGGTAGAGGTGGACCATAGTGTGAACAGTCCCAAAGGCCTGGTAGGCAGCTCCAGCGGGGGGGGGGGGGCTGAGGGAGGCCAGGGAAAGCAGCTGGCTCACAAAGCCCAGCTTCTTTGCCCGGAATAAAAGCACAAATCAATATTTTACCCAACACTGCTGACGCAGTGTAACCCAAGTAGAGGCGGACACAGCAAGGTCAGCGATAATCTAAGAAGGAGCCCAGGTGATCCTGGGACAGCAGACACAGGCCAGGGCCAAACAGGCCTGACATCCGGCCTTCCCGCGCCCTCTGTGGGTCCGGAGACATCGTAAGTGACAGGGGGCTTAAAAACTTGGAACAACTGATCTAGGTTGTGGGAACAATCTGGTATGTTTTGGTGGAGCACAGAATCTCTAGCAGTACACCTGGTCAGGTCAATCAGAGCCCCCCCCCCCCCCAAATACTTCAGGTGTAACTGCGGGATTCCCCATCACCGCTTCATAACGTGTCCTCATCTCAGGGGCAGAGAGAGGCCATGCAAAAACAGGGATCCATATGACAGCAGTTGCAGGATCAGTGGGCCTCCTAAACCAATAGCGATTCAGTCAATCGTTCATGACTTAAATGGTTGGTTCACCGTTGATTAATTGAACTTGAACAGACAGCTGGATGCTGTACCGCCATTACAATTATTCATTACAAGGTGGGTTAACCAAACATGTTTAGTTTCTTAAAGTATGTCTTCAGCCAAAGGATAATATTTGGGTTAATGGAAATTTGGCGAATTGATTATTTCTCAGCCCAGTCCTCGTCGACCCCCACGCCGTCCATGAGTTTCCTTTCTCCCAGCAGACCCTAAACAATCAAGAACACCAAAGGCGTGGCACAGATTCAGTGCTGGGAGGGAGCAAAAACGTGGACTGTCTGAGGGTCCCCGAGGACCGGGTCGAGAAACACTGCTTTAGGGAATGAAGTGATTGGTGAAGACAACAGCTCAGCCAAAGCCCATTAAGGAGGATCTCACCTGGATCAAATCCCAGCATGCATCAGGGCTGGGAGACGCTGGATGGGCCTGTAAACAGGATGCCCTGGATTCGCCTGAGTCAGACCTGCCCCCAGGTCGTAGAGTCATACAAATGAGCAGGTTTGGAGTCAGTCAGACTAACCATGTCTGTCCTGACAGCTGTAGTGTGGTGCTGCACAGTGGCGCAGAAACCCAGTGTCCCCTCAAAGAAACTGATCTCAGCACAGCCGTCTGATATGAGTGCCTTTATTACTGGATTGGTTTGATATATACAAGGATGTATAGGAACAAAACTGCTGCTCCACTGGCCTCAGAGGAGGGTTAAGCCACGAGACTTGAGACTGGGCCATTCCTGGAACAGGAGACACCTGATTGGGTCGTCTTCTCAGCACAATGCACACGGTTGGACACTTCCCTTCTCCGAAGGCTCGTGACAGGTCCCTTTCGGCCAGTGAGGTGACTTTATGCAATAACATACATACAGCAAAGATGAGCACATCCACATCCGCTCAACAGGTACACGTAGTGTTAAACTTAAGTTGCATAATCAAAAATGTGTCTGACCACTTCATCCAACCAGTTCAGGATAGCAGCAAAGAAACTGAACAAGACATCGTGAGTGCATGACGAAGAGCAGGGCGCTTAAACGCTCCCGGAAATAAATAAGACAGCATTTCAAGCAGTGTCGTATCACTGAGCAGATCATCACAAGACCAAAGTAACGGCTTTATAGACCATCTTCCTCGCGTGTGTGCCAGTGTGTGTGTGTGAGTTCACGGGGGTACGTGCACGCGTGTTCTAACTAATTGCACTTGGAGATTGAGCCCTGGGCTGCCAAGGTGCATGGCTCCATCGGGTAGAGTCCTGCAGCGTTCGGTAACTGGAGCTGTTCCCACACTGAGAAATGGAAACGGGGGTCTTGCAGGGGAGCCGGCCGTAGTCTTGGACAAAGACCACGGGGCATCACCTACAGGTCCCATTACACACATTCCCCTCATAAAATCTTACAGCCAAGAACCAATAAGAAAGGAAACAGGAAGGAGCCGGGATCTTTGGCTCCTCTGCCAGACGTCATAATCCCGCCAGCCATGGCCAGGCCGGAGCAACACGCTTCCCTTTACATTCTGCACAAGAGTACGGAGCAGAGAGTCCGCTCTGGACACACGTCTCTCCAAGGGTGGCACGAGATTCCCGCATCTCCGCTTTCCAATGGAAAGAAGCCGTCTCCGGAATCTCGTGCGGAATTCCCCCGTCGCCAGGCACGCCGGAATCGCGGCTCGGTGCGCAAGGAGGGCATGGAGAGGTGGAGTCTCCAGGAGAGAGAGAGCGACACGAATGGACACCACAGGACAACGTACTGTACTTCACAACGCTTCACGGCGGACGTCACCGGGGGAGGGGGCGAGGCTAAGGACACGGACGAAAGGGGGCAGGATTGCAGGCGGGGGCTCAGAAGAACTTGTCGTCGATGCGAAAGTGTGGCCGCGTGACGTCGTCGGGGTTGATGAAGACCGAGATGGACTTGCCAGGGTTTTCTGTCACCAGCTGCTGCAGCTTCTTGGCCAGCCGGTCGTCGGGCGGAGCGTCAGCGGGGTCCGCCTGTGGTGATGGCAGCCCGGAGCCGCTGCTGCGCCGCTGCAGCTCCAGAGTGAGGCGGCCGGCGGCCTTGGCGTGCTCGATGGCCGTACGCAGGTGCTCGGCGGGGTCCGAGCGCACCGAAGACAGCTTGCGCGCGTGCAGCACAGCCGTCTCGTCCGACAGGTGCTCCAGCATGTTGCACTGCGGGATGAAGTAGTTGGGGCACGTCTTGTTGACCAGGCAGTGCAATAGGTCATCAATGAGGCCCAGCAGGAAGTGGGCTGAGAAGTCATCCTGGGACAGGTAGCTGGCGGGCAGGCGGTCACATGACCAGAGCATAACGCTACGCAGGTGGTAGGGGCTGATGGCCTTGGGTCGAGACAGCAGCTTGATGATGATAGCCTTGCAGGCCTGGTATGCCTGGATAAGGCTGGTGGAGAGGCACTTTTTGAGCTGCACCTCACTACGAGCGAAAGACAGGCGCCACTCGTTCTCCTTGCGGCCCTTGAAGGAGCAGGCGGGCACCAGATAGAAGCCGCTGATCACCTCCTCCTCTGTGATCTTTCCGTCCCAGAAGTGGTTCTCCATCAGCCAACTCTGAGCCACAGCGGGCCAGCCCTTGAAGGAGACCACAGGCACCACGTCATACAGCATGCGGCTACTGCCCACGCCCAGGATGATGGAGATTACCGTCCCGTTCTTCTCCACCTTCTCCACGCGCGGCATGCCCCGCTGCGGCTTCTTCTGGACCTCGTCCAGCACCACGCTGATCGACTCGTAGAACCAGTCCGCCACCAGCGTGGGGGAGAAGAAGTAGTTTGTGGCTCCGTTGATGTGGTCGACGATAGTGCAGCAGTCCTTCCAGCGGTTGATGGTGGCCTCATCGAAGAGCCGCAGGCTCAGCCAGGAGTGGCAGAGCGCCGAGTGCCGCATATCCAGGGTCACGGGCTGGTTGCGGTCGTGCAGCTTCAGGGCCGGTACCAACAGGGTGAAGTCCATGTCGTAGTCCGTGCCACGGGCGTAGAGGCTCAGCTCGTCCAGGTCCATGTCCACCACGCCCTCACGCACCCCGCCCGACAACAGCAGGTACTCGTTGGCAACCGGAAGCTTCTGGTCCAGCTTCTGCACCATCCCTGGAAGACAGATCAGGAGGAGAGTTTGGGAATGCAAAGCGGGAGCAGACGCACAGTGCAGGGATGCAAGAAAAGGGCAGGAACAGAGGGATGGTGGAGAACAGGGGAGAAGAGAGAGTGGGAGAATGGAGGAAAGGAACAGAGGGGTGGAAGAAAGACGAAACAGAATGAGAAAGTGTGGGAACAAAGAGAAAATGGGAAAAGGGATATGACAAACACACACACACATCCACAAACACACACTCACACATATATATATTAATATGCTCACACACATGATTAAAGCTGCAGGTTCTGGCACAGTTATGTTGGCCTCACCCAAACCGGCTGACCACACCCTACCCAGCTGACCCCGTCCTTGTTCATGTCACCTCGCACTCGCCCATGTGACTCTAAGTGCCTTCAGCCGCCACCCCTCTGCAGAGGACTGGCGTCGGTTTCCGGCGGATCAATGAGAATATCTGAAAGAAGACACCGGAGCCGGCATGCCGGGGGCCACAGTCCTCAAGGTCAGGCGAAGCTCTGCTGCATTTCTAATTCTCAAGGAGCCATTTATAAATCTGAAAAAAGGAGCTCAAGGATGCCACCTTACAACAGGGCCGAACGGCTACACTCTCACCCTCTACCCAGCATGCACTGCTGCAGTCCCCGCAAGGTCTCGCCAGGTGACACTTAACACCTCAAGCACAGAGCCGTAAACCACAAGCATGCTACCCCGGCCCGACACAGTCAGCATCAGCAGGTAGTTAAAACGTTAGACAGCTGAATCTTATTTGCCTCGGTGCGACGCTCGCGCCGGATTGGACGGCAGCCATTACCGCTCCTGAGGTCATGTGCCATTTTGGCTCCACCATACCTGGGTTTTTGTTTACCACAAGAAACGGTTGCATCCAATGTCTCTCACAGTCTCCTTCAGAACCTGGCTGGTGACACTGAGCTGAAACTTTCAACCAGTATTGATTTTCCCCATTTGTGCATTTAGGGGTCACTCCACAGACGCGAGAGAGCAAAATCTGCAGGTTCTGACCCATAGACAGAAACTGATACGGTCCAGAAGCTATGATGGTTTTGATAGGAAATCTGTGTGAATGTGCCACCCTGGACAAGAAACTAAAAGTGACAAATGCTGCTCTCTCCTACAAGTTGGGGCAACAGGCGAAAGTCACTCTGGGTCGTGCCTCGGATGGGAATGGGCAGTCTGAACTCAGCCCTTCCTTTGCACATAAAGCCCTACGACCTTTCACCCCTAGCCCTTAGAAGTCCCCTGATACCGGCTGGTGTTTATAAACGTGGTGTAAAGTCCTCGCTTTATCACAGGGCATAATTAACCTTTATGACTCTCCTGCTGTGACTAATCCTGCAGAAACCACAGTTTTCTAGGAGTGGCGCGCGCATTCACAGACTCAATCCAACAAGGAGCGAGGACGCCGATGACATCACAGGTTCTGCTGGTGTATCATCTGTCATGTGTCCATGCGAGCAGACGCCAAAGGCTTCAGTACATTTTAAACGCATCGTCTTTTAACACCGTCAGCACATCTCCAGGCAGCAGCGCCCTCTAGTGGATCACACCGCCGTGTCGCCCTACGATGCAGTGACGGTGTGCAGGCATGGACGCTGCGAGTAAGCTGAGAGTGCGCCCGATTCCTCAGATATCATGCTGGGTTCTCTTCCAGGGAATCACAGCGTTTCCCTCTGCGCTTGCATGGTTATTTTGACGTATTTTACAGTAACTCAATGTGTTAACGTGGAGGTCATGATGAAATAACACACAGCTGTTTGCCGTACAGATGACCACGAAATACATCAGCACTCCCGAGGCTGCACTACGGACCGTGCATTTGCACGCCCGTAAGGAAATCCAGACTGATTTCCCAGAAATAGCCGCTGAAAGTCTCAGTTTTTGCTCCACGTCGTCGGCTGGTGACAGTCATCGATACGTGCATCTGTGCTGTGGAGCATCTGGTCCAACAGACCAAGGTAGCAAACATCTAGCATCTTACCTGACACTGAGTCACACACGCCCTACCTGCACCCCATCGATGTGATCCTCCACACCAAGCTCTATTTGAAACCCACAACGCCTGGGCTGCTCCTTACCGAGCATGGAGAAGATGAAGTCCTTGGCGGTGTGAATCTCCAGCGCCCGCTGATCGTCATACTCCCTCTGGTCGTGCTTGCTGAATTCCTGGATTAGCTTGTTCAGTTCTTCTATCCTGGCCCCGGACCTAAAGTCAAGCTCCGGGCAGTTGGGCACGATCCTGTTGTTGTTGTTGGTGCTGCTCGGTGTCGCGGTGGGGCTGTTCCCGAGGCTGCTGACCGATCCAGCCCGGCTGCCTAGTACTGGCGCCGCCATCTTCGCGAGGATATAATGCAGAGACCGCCCCTGAGAGCTCCGAGCGCTCCGAGAGCGGAAGCGCTTCGGCCTCCCCCCAGCGAAATCTAACATGCCGTGTAGCACAGAGCAGCCTTTTTATTTTAATACAAGAGCTATCACAGAGTAGCCTTTTTTTGATGAAACACCAGGTAGCACAGAGCTGCCATTTATTGTAATGCACCTGGCAGCGCAGATCGGCTATTTTATTTTAATACACAATATAGCACAGAACAGCCTTATATATTAATACACCTGGCAGGACAAAGCAGACTTTTATTTTAATACACAAGGCCGCATAGATCAGCCTTTAATTTTAATATGCCAGGCAGCACTGGCTCGTTTTTTTTATTATTATTACTTTAATACCTACCCTAAGCAGCACAGACCAGACATTTATTTGAGATTTTCAATTCGAGTTAAGTCTGCACACATGCAGACTCATTTACATGTATGTAACAGTTTTATTACCTTGTAAATGGTCTGCAGGGTCTGCAAACTGCCCTAGCGCTTTTTAATGTAGCTGATTTTGGGTTATAGTGGAATAATATAAATTTGCTGCTTTCTTGCGTGAGAGTCTGAAAGTGTTAGAAAGAGTTGGCAGCTCTAACACTAACACTGTCAGCCCCGTTTATTTAAACAAGTCGGAATGTGGTTTTCATATTATGTAGCTCCCTAGATTTGAGATTTCAGATTTATAAGCCCGGGTGTTTATTAGGAGACAACACAAAGTCAGCTTTCTGTGTATAAGGTAAAACGAGCGTAGAAGCACAAGGATCGCAGACCAGATTCCAATTCATTGGATAACTATGAGTAGCCTATGTGTGGGAATTAAATATGTGTAATGTATCAGGGGTGAGTAAATTAGATAATCCGTTCTGGATGTTATGGTTGATTTTCTGTGCGAGAAGTTAAAAGAGAATAATAACAAGACGATAAACTATGAAGGATATTATCATAATGACCATTAAAATGAACTGAATAATTACAACGAATGCTCCCACCCCCCAGTCGCCCTTAAAATGCGACGTTGCCCCATCCGATCCTCTAGGTGTCGCTGCTTCCACCGTCGGGTTTCTGTGACCCGGTAGTGCATTGTCAGGGGTAGGGGGGGCTGCGTCATTCGGGGAAAATGGCGTGGAGGGGTGCTATACTGAACGGCACCGGTGGAAAAAGGTGAGTTGTGCTGGGATGATTTCACTAGTGTCTGTTCCGCTGCGCCCATTAAACCAGCGAGCCGATCTGGTTTTAATGGAGATTAGATCAACGAGTGATGCATCGGCACAGTGGGAAACACGACTCGTTGGCTTGTACATGTACATGCGTGAGGGAAGTGCTGTTTTTGAAGCGCCTGTAAGTAACCTCCACAGCGTAAGTGTTGCGATTAGTGTTGAGGCAGGACCGATCTGGACCGTAAGGTCGATCCTAGGGGGGCTGTGTGTCCGGCTGACCCGCGTAAGTTGGGAGAGCGCAGCCCGAAGCTTTAGCAAGGCTTGCATGGTATAACTTCCAATCGTTTCATAGGTGATTTCATTGGTTTATCTACTTCTCAGTTGTATGCATCAGGAAACCCGGTACGATACAAGTGAAGGTCAGGGGTTCTTCTGTTATGCAGGTGGACAGTTTTTTTGCACCAGAGGGGTTTCCGCAAGGCCCCCAGGAAGACTGAAGCGAAGAAGGTGGAGGTGGAAGAAGCGGACATTGACGGGGCAGTCCGAAAGAAGAGCATTGCACCGGCCGTGGAGTGTCCAGCCCCCCCGGTGCCCAGTGTGTCCTTCGGCAGACTGGTGAAGCCCCTGCTGTTCACTGTAGGGGTAAGTCCTCTCCATCTGTTAGATGTATTTTGATGTCTTTCCCTCTTAATAAGCGGGACTTGGCAGCCCTTAAGTCAAACCCTAACGGACAATGATGCTGGGACTGTAGCACCTTGGAGTAGGTACCAGTGGGTGAAAATTGAAAATTGACAGGTTAGATTTAATAAGTCTGATTGTTTTGATACCAAGGAAAGACACAAAAATGTCAAGTTGTCGTTTTTTAATGGCTTTCGAGATTATGGCTATTGGGGAAACCCTCCTGACATCCTCATTTTGATTTCCACTGCCGATTCCACCAATTTATTGTGGGAGTTCGCTATGAAGCTCCTGGAAAACTTTGCTTTTCAAGCTTTATTTGGGTACCTAGTTTTGGGGGGGGGAAGGTGTTGTAGGTGTCTGAGAAAATTGTGGGTAGTGAAACTGGCAGAATCCAGCGTGGATCCTGAAGGAAATAATGACAGAACGTGGCATATAGAGTAAAAAAAGAAGTTTATTTTACTGATATAAAAAATGAAATGTGACATTCCTAGACAGACAAATAAGTTGGACCTGGAGCTTTTCAGACCAGTTCTGACTCTTTCCTCCAGTCAGTGTGCTTACCTGCCGGTACCTTTGCTGAGAGCTGTGAGCGGCAGGGGACACTGACTCCATATCAGTTTACAGGCTGCTCCTTCGGTGCAGCTGCCATCTGGCAGTACGAATCCCTGAAGTCGCGCGTACAGACCTACTTCGATGAAGTCCGAGCCGACTGGCTGGAGAAACTGCGTCCGCAGAAGCAGGGAGACATCCGCAAGCAGGTAGATAACAGGCTCTGTTATTACTCAGGGCTTGTGTTTCATTAACTACTTTAAAACTCCTTAATGTTACAAAGTGGGGACTTAATGGAGTAATTAATTAATGGGCACTGAAGAGATGGAGGAGCCAGGGGGATGAATCTCTTGTCCGATTCGTCAGAGCGGGGAAAACTGGTGTTCAGGTCGTAAAGGTGAAAGGTCACTTCCTGTTGTGAGGGCGCCACCTAGTGGACATCCAAAACCATGAGCTGCTTGCTGAATTTCAGGTGAACCAGTGGTGGAGCGGTCTGAGTGAAGGGCAGCGGACGGTGACAGGTCAGTCATCCGACACGCCTGGGACAGGGGGCCGTGGGTGTGGCGTCGCTCGTCACTCTGTCCCCTCTTCCAGGTATTATTGCTGCCAACGCGCTGGTGTTCTGCTGTTGGAGGATTCCTTCTCTACAGCGCAGCATGTTGAAGTACTTCACCTCCAACCCGGCCTCTCGTAAGCAGCCGTGCATCCTCGCTGGCGCCCCCTAGAGCCTCATGAGGAGAGGTTAGCTGAGCTGAATCTGTTTAGCCTCGAGCAAAGGAGACTAAGGGGGGACATGATCCAGGTATATAAGATTCTAACAGGTCTGGATGCTGTTCAGCCAAATGGCTACTTTAATATTAGTTTAAATACTAGAACTCGTGGCCATAGGTGGAAATTAGCGGGAGAACATTTTAAACTGAATTTGAGAAAACACTTCTTTACACAGCGTGTAGTTAGAGTACGGAATAGTCTTCCTGCTAGTGTAGTGGAAGCTAAAACCCTGGGTTCCTTTAAATCAGAGCTAGATAAGATTTTAACAACTCTGAGCGATTAGTTAAGTTCTCCCCAAACGAGCTTGATGGGCCGAATGGCCTCCTCTCATTTGTAAATTTCTTATGTTCTTATGTTCTCCGCCTGTGTGCTAACTGTCTGCGTCTGCCGTCCTGCAGGGACCCTGTGCTCTCCCATGATTCTCTCCACATTCAGCCATTACTCCTTCTTCCACATGGCGGCCAACATGTACGTCTTGTGGAGCTTCTCCTCCAGCATCGTGTCCCTGCTCGGCCGGGAGCAGTTCATGGCCGTCTACATGTCTGCAGGTAGCTGTAGGTGTGTGAGTCCCGCCATCCTCCGCAGGGACCTCTGCAGCTGACACCTGTGTCCCTCACCCTAGGTGCCATCTCTACGTTTGTTAGTTATGTCAGCAAGACTGCCACGGGCCGACTGGGACCTTCTCTGGGGGCGGTGAGTCCTGCCACACTTGTGCGGGTGACCTTCAGGGCTTTGAACCAGCAGTCATCCATTTGCTAGTTGTTTTGATGCTAGATGTAGTTCCGTGGTGGTGAGAAACAGTGGATTCCCCCCCCCCCCCCCCCAGAGACAGACAACTGTGCAAGATGGTTGCTTAGAGTGAGGCTGGCTCTTCCTATTGGCAGGGTTCACATTCAGTGGGTTGCTGTAGGGGGAAAAAACAAAATGATTGGTTACTGGTTGCCATGGTGACACGATGCGTCAGTGAAGACTGTGAGGGAAAATGAGAAAATGGGTTAAAATATAGGGGAGGTGAAGGGATCTCAGGGCTGTGTAGTGTTTTACTCGGGTTTTTGCTGAAATCTGTCCGGGAAGCTCATTCTCTCTCTCTCGCTCTCTCGCTCTCTCTCTCTCTCTCTCGTCTGTTCCCTGCAGTCAGGAGCTATCATGGCCGTCCTGGCTGCAGTCTGCACCAAGATGCCCGAGGCGAAGCTGGCCATCATCTTCCTGCCCATGTTCACCTTCACGGCGGGCAACGTGAGTGGAATAGCGAGACGCTCCAGCCTCGTCGGGATTCGTCGTGTTTGTGTGCGCGTCCCGGCTTCCGCGTAACCGTGCATCTCCTCGCAGGCATTAAAAGCTATCGTTGCCATGGACGCGGCCGGCCTCATCCTCGGATGGAGGTTCTTCGACCACGCAGCACACCTCGGAGGGGCGCTGTTTGGAATGTGAGTCCCCTGCCCTCTCGCCCATCATCCCGTTTGGTTTCCCATTAAAATTGGAAAATTAGTTCCCCCATCACGTCCCTATCCATCATCTCCTGGGCTGTCTTTCAGCTGGTACATCCTCCAAGGCCATGAGCTGATCTGGAAGAACCGTGAGCCTCTGGTCAAGATTTGGCACAACTTACGGACGAGGGGACCAGGCGGAGGTACGGGCTCGCTCTAGAGGGGCGGGGCCACGGCTCTGTCCAGTGGTCAAGCTGCAATAGCCACTGGAAGGCTAGTGGTGGCAGTAGAGGCCGAGTCCTCTGGATGTGGCTGCAGGAAGACTGATGCCCAGGTTTGGCAGGAGCAGCCAAGCTCATGTCCTTCACCCCTGCTGGTCTGGCCTGTACAGCATGACCCATAAGGCCAGAGCAGGAGCAGGATCCAGGCCCGGCCCCGGCTTAGAGTTCCTCTCCCGCCTTCCCCTCCCCCTCATCTTTCATTTCAGGGGTGAGGGGGTGGGAGGTGAGTTCTGATCTTGTCTCCCAGTCAAGAAGGTGCTGTGCAGTACATGGATACTGTTTGGATGTTTTGTACTATTTCAGTGGGAAGAGTCTGCTTTTGGAACTGGGCTGGGGTGCTCCTATTCCTTACTCCCAGTTGTCAGTTTCCTGTTTTTGAGGACTGATGGGTGCCTCGGGAAGTGGGTGAATGAGGGGCGACCTTCTGTGCGCACTGTCATAATAAAAGCTTCCCTTGTGTTCTCAGTCTGCAGTGGATCCTTATTTGTCAGCCGCACCTACACTACACAGCCAGCAGGGGGGGGATGTGTGTTTTTGTACAGTACCACAAACGTTTAGACACGCCGAGCCGCCCACAACGGAGAGTGAGAGTGTCGCATCACATGACCTGGCCTAAGCACAGTAGAAATGGTTTTGGGGGAGTTTGACCAGAAAGTGAAGGACAAGCAGCCAATGAGTGCTCAGCATTTGTGGGACCTCGTTCAGGACAGCTGGAAGAGCATCCCAGTTGGCCACCTCATGAACTGGCGTAGAGGAGTCCGTAGGGTCAGCCTGGGGCAGTTGGAGTTAAGGGCCTTGTTCAAGGGCCCAAAGGTGGGATCACTCTACCGACCCAGGCTTTTGAACCAGGATCCTCCTGAAAGCCAGTTCATACTTCACTTTTCCGCATGTGGAGCAGGGAACGTGATGTAAATTTGGTCATCAGGGTTTGGCTGCAGACAGCTGTGATCAGGGCACGTGCAGCCGAGATTTTTATGTCTAGCGGAAAACATGCATGTCCGTGTGCATTGACCACGGTTGTGCCAGGTTATTGATTAGGTGTTTCCAGTAGGTGGCAGTGTGGACTTTCAGTGTGGATCAGCGGTGAATGACAAAAGACTGGAGGAAGAACAGTTATTGTAGTAGTTATGGTGAGCAGCTGTACGAGGAGGGTTAGAGATAGGAAGAGATTTAATTTTTCTTTCTGTCCAGACATTATACCGAGGTATATGGTATTTTAAAATGCAACACTATTTGGCCATTTTGAAATATTGGCGATAAAAATTCACCAGACAGAGGGAGGGGTCCCAGCTAATTTTGTCATAAGAATTTCAAAATACTGTGGTATGCCTTATTACCATAATACCACCCAAGCCTTGACTAATAACTTTAAAACTTCAGAAAACTTTACCTGTTTCACTACGCCTCATGTATTTCTGGTTGTTGCAATGCATCTGCCCCCTCCTGTTCTGGTGGAATATCACTGCTGTATGCACACACCGACCGCAACCTTCCGCATCCGGAGCCAAATGTAGTGTGAACACAAGCTGTCGTGCAGATGACCGTCCCCAACCCAATAGTGCACACGAAAAGTGAAGCATGAACTAGGCTTGAGTTCCAACCCACCAAGCTGCCCCCCCAACAAATTCATCTATTTTAGCTTAATACTTTTTTGGTTAGTACATAATTCCATATGTTTTATTTTATAGTTTTGATGTATTTATTCTAAAATATAGAGAATGGGTAGGTGTGTCCAGACTGTTGACTGGTACCATACATCGCTGCTGTGTAATGGGACCCGGAATGAGCCGTACCTGATCATATGGGTGACATCTGCGTGCCCGTGTGGCTGGGCTCTAACACTAGGATGGCGTGGTGCTCTTCACCGTGGTCCAGTTTTATCAGGTAGATCATTTCATCCTGCAGACAACACAGGGAGGTCTGTCTATGCCTCAGAGTGCCAACGAGCCAAAAGCTTGTCATGACACTCGCAACTCGTACCTCAACATCATGAATTAGGGCAGCTGGCAGCGGCTCCTGGTGCCAGCAGTTATGTAAGAGGATGAAGAAGAAGTGTCTCGCAGTCCACAGCAGGACGGGGACCAGGACCACAAGCAGCACCAAGGCGAAAAACACGGTGACTGGCCCCAGCAAGCAGAGTGAGGAGTCTGGGAACACAGGAACAGACAAGCTGCCTAATGGTGTATTATCCTGAGGAATTTTGTGCAGGCGTTAGCACAGGCTGCCCCAGGGGTCCTTCTGACACACCTGGCACATGGAAACATTGATCTTCTGAGCTGGTGCTTCTGTTGCTGCTAGGAAAGTAGACCTGGGCGAATAAGCAGTAGGTGGCTCCCTCCTGCAGGCCGCTCATGTGAAAGGGACGCCACTTCTGAGGGACCTTCAGCGGGGACACCTGGAAGTGACAAACACGGAGTCACCTGGCAAGCTGTGTGCGCTCGAGGGAAAGGGATGTAGTCTGGATGTTTGGTAATAACAGAGTTGCAGCATGTGAGCTGCAGGGGGGCGAGTGACACATGGGACAGTATGGGGGGTGGGGGGGGGGGTCTTCCACCTTTATCTTCTGGCCTTTTCTCCAGTATGTGAGGAACAGCTCCAGGGTGGAGGGTAGGTCAGGCAGGTCGACTTGCGCGGACGTCCCGGACACCCGCACGCCGACGATGGGTATGGTGAGCCTCGCTGTAAATAACATGGACCATTTACTCCCCTCAAAATCACAAATCGGGCCAGCCCCTCATCAGCTAATGTGGCCAAATCACAGATACAGGTCTTGAGGCTGACTACTGAGGCTCCATTGACCAATGAATTTAGAGATTAATTGTCATTGTTGACACACCAAAGCACACAACAACAAAATGTGTCCTCTGCGTTTCACCCATATATGACATAGCAGGGGGCAGCTAATTCAGCACCCAGGGAGCAGTGCTTGGGGGTGCTACCTTGCTCAGGGAACCTCAGTGGTGTCTTGCTCGTCAGTGATTCAAACCTGCAATCTTTCAATTAACTTCTTTCAATCTTTCAATCTTTTCAATCTTTCAATCTAACCATTAAGCTACTACAATGATGTGAACACATGCGCTTTCTTGGTGGGTTTCCCGGTCGGGCCTCACTCTGTTCCCTGTTGAAAGGCCTGGGGAGATTGGTCCAGCGGGAAGCAGCCTCGCCGCACCGGGCCTGCACGCGGAGGTTGTAGTCCGAGTCGGAGGCAAGGTCAGCAGTCAGGTCACACTCGTTAAGGGTGGTCAGCCAACAAGCCTGAGAATTCTCCCAACTTCCATTCAAGATGTGGAGCTCAAACTCCCTGCAATACAAGAGTGCCATCTTTATCGTCTGCCCTCAACAACTTTCTTTACCTTCACGAATGACCAAACACGACATGCTCATCACACTCACCCCTGGAACTGCACCGAGTATCTGACAGTGCTGCATGCGACCACAGGGGGGCTCCACCTGAGCACGTGCCTCATGTTGACTGATTCCATAAGCACATCCCGCGGATGGGATAGCAGCTCGGCACCTAGGACTGGCAGAAGGACAGCCAGCGTCACCGGCTGTGGTGACCGGCTGTTGTGTGTGTGAGTGTGTGTGCACGTCGGTGAGAAATGGACATGTAAAGTCTAGGCGAATAACTGATCGATTTGTGCGACCGGTATAGGTGTAGCATGAGAAATCATACGGCTGCTCAGGGCAGAATCACCAGAGCAGAGTCACCTGAACCACACCCAGGAATGCATCTACAGTTACTGCTGTTTATGTGCTCTGTGTGCAGAGAGAGTATTTACAAAGAGAGAGAGAGAGGGAGAGAGAGTGTGTGGTCATGTATAGATCAAACTGTGAGGATCAAATGTCCCCACAATGTGATAAAAACCTGTTATTTCTACATTGTGGGGACCATTTTTTTCAGTTCCCACTCAAGGAATCTCAATTTTATAAAAATCCATGACTGCAATCAAAGAACCAAAAATGCCAAAATACTTTTTTTATTTTGTTTGGTTACTTATGTTTAAGTTTAGGGTCAAGTAGGGGTTAAGTTTGTCATACCTAAGATTAGGGTTATGCCCATAGAACTGAATAGAGTCCTAATAAAGATATAGATACCGTGTGTGTGTGTGTGTGTGTGTGTGCAAGAGAGAGACAGAGAAAGAATATTCACTATGACAGTATGTATGAGTGTGTGAGCGTGTATCAGCGGGAATATACATTAAGTGTGTGTATCAGACAGTGCGTTCACTATGAGTGTGTCTATCAGAGAAAGTATTCACTATGCATGTGTATATCAGACATTCACAATGAGTGTGTGTATCAGAAAGTATTCACTATAAGTGTGTGTATCGGAGAATATTCACTATAACTGTGTTTGAGAGATAATCTATGAGTGTGTATATCAGAGAGAGTATTGGAGAAATTATTCACTATGAGTCTGTGTATCAGACAGAATATTCACTATACATGTGTGTATCAGAGAGTATTCACTATGTGTGTGTGTGTATCAGAGAGTATTCACCATGCGTGTGTGTATCAGACAGAGTATTCACTATGCGTGTATCAGAGAGTATTCACTATGCGTGCGTGTGTGTGTGTGTGTTCGAGGGCACTCACCCTGTACTATGAAACAGCCGCTTGTCAGCAGCACCAGGCAGCACCTGGTCTGCTGCATCACCTTCCTGACACCCGTGCGCCCTCTGATTCCTCTTCCCCGGACGCTCGTCTTCTCCTGCAGTCCCTCTTCTGTTGCGTATCCTCTGCCTGATTCTGCAGCTCTGGGCATGAGGAGTGAGCCACCTGGGAGCCGCTCTACCGCTGTTTGCCGTTGTGTTACTGGGGCGGTCAGACCTGTATAACAGGAACCCGCCAACCTGGTTGCTGATCCCAATTTCATGTTTCAACTTTTCCAGGTCAGGTTGCCTTCAATTAACCTGTTTTTCTTATTTATGTCAAGAGATGTTTACTGTCATTTTTACACGGGTTATTTTACCATTAAACAGAAAAATTCTGATGTATGTAGAATAAAAAAATTAAAAGAACTTACCCATCAGTCCATTCTATTACCACTTATCCAAAACAGCCAAGAAATAACAGAATCATTAACCAAATATTTAAAGTGACAATTCAATAACAACAAACAATAATTATACTGGCATCTACAAAAACAGCCGTAACATTAAAAGCACTTGCTTCCTATTGTATAGGTCCCCCTTTTGCCACCAAGACAGCTCTGACCCATCGAGGCATGGACTCCACAAGACCTCTGAATGTTACCTGTGGTATCTGGCACCAAGACATTAGCAGCAGATCCCTTAAGTCCTTTAGGTTGCAAAGTGGGGCCTCCATGGATTGGACATCCCACAGATGCTTGTCAGATTGAGACCCGGGGAATTTGGAGGCCAAGTCAACATCTTTGTCATGTTCCTCAAACCATTCTTGACCAATTTTTGCAGTGTGGCCAGGGTGCATTATCCTGCTGGAAGAGGCCACTGCAATTGGGGAATACTGTTGCCATGAAAGGGTATACTTGGTATGCAACAAAGCTTAGGTAGGTGGTATGTGTCAAAGTAACATCCACATGAATGCCAGGACCCAAGGTTTCCCAGCAGAACATTGCCCAAAGCATCAAACTGCAACCACCGGCTTGCCTTCTTCTCACTGTGAGTGTGTGTATCAGAGAGTATTCACCATGCGTGTGTGTATCAGACAGAGTATTCACTATGCGTGTATCAGAGAGTATTCACTATGCATGTGTGTATCAGACAGAGTATTTACTCTGTGTTGGTTGTATGCTTAAGCTTGTGTTGCTCATTACATAGAAACAGGCCTTCGTGGCTGTCCTTCCTGCTCCATAACTGACTCATTCAGATCCTGGTGCCATGCCGTTCACCGGTTGGCCTTCCACTTTTGGTAGATCCTGACCACTGCGTACCAGGAACACCCCACAAGGCCTGCTGTTTTGGAGATGCTCTGACCCTCTCGCCTAGCCATCACAGTTTGGCCCTTGGCAAAGTCGCTCAGATCCTTACGCTTGCCCATTTTTCCTGCTTCCAGCTATCAACTTCAAGAACTGACTGTTCACTTGCGTAATATATAATGGTAATTGTAACAAGATTAATCAATGTTATCCACTTTGCCTGTCAGCGGTCTTGGTGTTACGGCTGTTCAGTGTATACAATATACAAAAAATACATCTGTTGTGGAAAAGGTCATTCTTCAGGACAGCTGTCCCACGTTCCCCTGCAATGAATTCATTGTACTGTACTGTGACTTTATTATCTTCCTCTGTGATGAATTGTTCCTGTTCCTCTGTGATGAATGCATCATGTTCCTCTGTATCTGTCCACGTTTCGGTGGCTAACTCATCATATTTCTCCTCACATTCCTCTAGAACTTTCTCACCATACTGAATGATTACACGTTCTTTATGTAAACAAGCTGTTATTGTCTATATGTAAGCAGAGGACAAGAATCACAGTACTGAAACTAGCCAGGACAGGAAGTCTTCACCACCATTGTGTTGGTTGTATGCTTTAGCTTGTGTCCCTCTTGGGCTTCATTTACACTTCCATGAATCTTCCATAATGCTTAACAGTCACAGTGAGCCTGGAGGAAGCAGGAAAGGGAAAAACTAATCTTCCACACTCTGAAAAACACCAGTAACACTTTGAATTTTACTTTCATTTCATTCTCCATGGCTTCAGCTTAGGGATATTTTTTAACATGTGAGTAAGTAGATGTGGGTGGTAATTGGCACATTACACTGTGGCTCATTTCAAAACAACATGTAGATGTGGAGAAACTTCTTCTGGTAGAAACCGACTGGGCAGACTTTGCTCCCTGATACTGGGCAACCATTAACATGGTTATAAAGCCATAAAGCCATAAAGCCTTGAACTGCATTTCAAATGCCTTCATGATTCAAAGACAAACTGTCCTTTGTTGGGTTAAGTACAGAAAATAATGTACAATAATTTTCCCGGGTCATCCGTGTGTGGGGCTGAGCTGTGGAGAGATGGAAATCACCTTAATGCTGTACAGTTGGGTTTTAGCCCTGTAGTTGACTTCACATACTTGCTGCCTGTCAACCTTTCACCTCTTAAACCAAAGTCTTTCAGTTCTAGGTCCTCAGACTCTAGCAACTAACTTGATGGAGCCATCCCTGCATGCAAAATGTTATGGTGTGAGGATGGAGCAGAGGTACAGAAGGTAGCATAGTAGCTTCACACCTCCCTGGTTGGGCTTTTAGATGTTGCCCCTGATTTTGTGTGTAAATCCTGCAGGTTCTTCCTATGTTTGTTCTTATTTCATCCTACTGCTCTGCTTCCCCCCCCCCCAGGCTAAAGACAAGCAGGTAAGTGAACTGATCTCAAATTGCTCATGGTGTATATGGCCGTCTACGTAGTCACTATGACCCTATACTGGTTGGGCGGTGTTTTGACACCAAGATGCACACTTGCTCATTACATAGAAACAGGCCTTCGTGGTTGTCCTTCCTGCTCCATAACTGACTCATTCAGTTCAACACAGTAACTATGTCATAGTAGCAGGGTCAGATGGATCATAAAAACTTTATCAATGTTTCGGTCTCATGTGCCCAGTGAGTCAACCATTGGTTAACAGGAAGCTGATTCTATTCAAATTAAAAATTTGCCGAGCTACAGAAAGGAAAAGTAAACAAGCATCTTCCTTACACCACATACAGAGGTGGAGGGTTCAAGTCCATCCATCTATTTTCTGTACCCACTTGTCTGATTTAGGGTTGCAGGGGGTCCAAGAGTCTATCCTGGTGTCTATAGACACAAGGTAGGAAACAATCCAAGATGGGGTGCCAACCTGTCACAGGGCATGAACACATGCCATTCACTCACATATGCACACCTACAGAGAATATGGTAACTCCAGTTAAGATCAGCATGTTTTTGGACTGTGGTGGGAAACCAGAGTACCCAGAGGAAACCCCACAACGACATGGGGAGAACCTGCAAACTCTACACACATGGAGCCATGGGGGAGACTCAAACCCAGGTCCCAGAGGTGTGAGGCAACAGTGCCAACCACTGCACCACTGTACCACCCTGGTTCAGACCCAGAAAAAAAATCCAGGATTTTGTTTTAATCAACCGGTCGAGTATAAAGAGTCACAGACACAGAGTACTCAACTGGTTGGTTGGAACAAAGTCTTGGTGTGAATTTTTATTTTCTGAACCTGAACTATCCACCTCTGACCGCCTAGTTGCTCCACATAGCTTGGCTTTGATTCTCGGCTCTTCCGCCTGGACGTATCTTCCTTGTCCAGCAGAAGGCATTTAATCTGTGTGCTATAATGACCAGGACTCCAACAAGAATGTGTATGGTGGCTGAAAAAGTTATGAATACCAATACACGTCTGTTACTACTTATAAATTCTAACACTAAGGTAGCTTCTAGGAGACTTAGTGAGGAAACGGTCAAAAGATTTGGAGGGCCTAAAACTTTAGACACACTTTAGTGATTAGCCAGGAGTGGCACAAAGTTTCTCTGAAGCATTGCTCAACAGTTTTCATATTATTTATGAAGGGAATACAAGAGCCTTGCTACAAGACAAACAGATTACAACCGTCAACACAACAAACAAACCGAAAGAAACACACCATCTGTGATGAGATTCTCTCACAGAAAGGTAGGGCAGGCGTGAGCCGCTCCCTCCGTCCTCGTCTGAAAGAGGGCGTATCCATGATGAGTTTATAGCCCCTGGGCAAAGAGTAAAGATCCTTCCTGCAGGCCATTGACTAAGACTCTGCCTCTCACCTGCAAGGGGACTGACTCTGTTCACAGTCCTTCCATCTCTTTGCGCGTGGATTCTGCTTTTCAGAAGTGACCATGTCCACCGGGCTAGAAGTAGCAGGCTTCATGCTGGGTGCGGCTAGCTGGCTGCTGACAGGCGCTGCTCTGGGTAACGATTACTGGAAGGTGTCCACTTACTCCGGCAGCGTCATCGTGTCCAACCGCCAGTACGAGAACCTGTGGCACTCGTGCGCCGAAGACAGCAGCGGCGTCAGCAACTGCAGAGACTTCGAGTCCATGCTCGCCCTGCCAGGTGAACTACTCGGCCGATACCATCGCTTTACTCACTGCTCAGAAAGATCCAGAAATCAGCATCAAACACTGATCAGAAGCTTCATTAGATCCGAATATTGCTCTTGCAGGTATAAAGCAGAACTTGATCAGTATTTGGTAAGACTCTCATACGGAGAGGCACATAAAACACTTGGAAAGAAAGTAGTTTCAGAGACAGCTTATCGGAGACATTTTAATCCACGTTTATCTCTAGCGACAATACCCGTGTGTACCGAACAACAGAAATCGCACCACACCATCATTTCTTTATCACACTTAGTAACTCATCAGCCATGTTGGGCTCTGCAGTAATACCCATAGCATGTGCTGAGCAGCTGTACGGTTCTACTGGACTTTCATACCCATCCATCAACTGAATGATTTTCCAGTCATAACAGAGGAAGATAAATTGGTTCAGTTAAAATCAAATCAATCAAAGGCTTAAGTTCTTGGGTACGATGAACATTTGAGTCTTTCACGGGGTGAGTACTGCTGGATTGGAGTTTACTCTAAAAAGTTTAATAGTTACAATAAACTAGCATGTGTTACCATTCCATAGACTCTATGGTTTATCTCGTATATTATACCAGGGATGACCAGGGACCAGCTGTGCATGTTGGTCATTGCTGCAACTGAGCTCCTCATTTGCCTTGGTTGAAGGAACTGAACAAATATGAAAACCTGAAGGCAAACACATTTAAAACTTCTTAGAAATGCTTTCTCAGCTCTTAGATACATGATAAAAGTGAAGGTACATTTGAGATAAACGCCTTTTGTCTTGTTATTGTTTGAATTAAATTTGTTGGGAGTGAAGTTTCCCCGAGTCGTCAGGCCAGCGTGGTTGGCTTAAGCCTCCTTTACCCATCCCTGCCATCCGTTGTGTAAGAGTGTCGCTCTGTATTCAGGTTATTTGCAGGCATGCCGTGCCCTGATGATCATAGCCCTGGTCCTGGGCCTGATATCGGTCTTTATTTCGATGATGGGTCTCAAGTGCATTAAGATTGGCAGTGCATCAGATCCAACCAAGAGTAAGATTGCCAGCACCGGTGGAGTAATGTTCATCCTGTCAGGTAAGGCCAGCAGAAGCCTGTATTATCCACCCTTACTATAATGCTAGCATGAGCATCTCCAGAGTAATAAGAGGAGTAATAATGTCTCTATCCTAAAAGATAATGCTAACGAAGGTGACTAAAAGTGAGAATGTTACTGTGCTAGCAGTAATGCTAATGCTACTGATGTTAAAACTCAACCACATGATAAAGTTACTGATTGACCTTGTTGGGGCTGCTGTTTGTTCTGCTACTTCGTCATAGAAGAGGTGAATTACCAGACTCCTCACAGCAGAGGTCTCTTTGTAAAAGGGAAGAGCATCGCTCTCAACACTATTCCCTTTAGATAAAGATAATTGTCTCTCTGCCCCTCCACCTCAGGCTTCACCAGCATCACGGCCGCGTCCTGGTACGCCTCTCGTGTTGTACAGGAGTTCTACAACCCCTTATATGGAGGCATTAAGTAAGTTAATTGCCCTGGGAAAACAGACTGTCACAGACAATCCTCATACTCTTCCCTATTGTGCCTACTTATGCATATAAACACAATACAGACGTTACCCGGGTTACGATGGTCCATGTTACGATATTTCAACTTTACTATAAGTATTCCAATTACATTTTGATTTTCACTTTCAGTACATTATTCAATAAATTACATGACATATTCAACAATTTATTATAAAGTGGGCTTTGTGTTAATGGTTTTGCGCAACTGTAGGCTAATGTGTTCCTAGCATGTTCAAGGTAGAGTAGGCTATGCTAGGATGTTTGTTCAGGTAGGTGTAATGTGTTAAAATGCATTTTCACTTTACAATATGTTTATCGGAACATAACCCCACCGTAACCCAGGGAGCGTCTGTACATGACACACATATGTCCAATCTGTTGAGAGACCCTCACCCACTAGAGGGCAGGCACCTTTCAACTCCAAGACCTACTGGCATAGTGGTGCCAGGTTTCTTTTGCATACAAAAATGGCTGAAAAACACAGTTCACATAAGGAACACCAACATATGATCTGTTCTTTTTTCCTTGACGATGGCTCTACCTGTCCACAGGTTCGAGCTCGGTGTGGGCCTCTACATGGCCTGGGCTGGAGCCAGTGTGGCCATACTCGGTGGAGCTCTCCTATGTTGTTCCTGCAGAGCAGGATTCAAGGGGTCAGGAAAAGGGTGAGTCTTGTCCCCCTGGTGAGCAGATTGCATATCTAACTGTACATCTACAGCTGCTGTTCCGTTGCACTCTGCCTATTTATAAAACCATTTTACTGGATTCTAGTACCATGCTAAACATCAAGTTGGTCTGCCTGCCTTTAAGCCCTTGTGTGTGATTGTGTGCAAACAGATATTTAACCCATTCCCATATTGTGTGTGTCACAGGAAATACTATGCAAAGTCTGGTCAGGGTCAGAACATCTACAGAGGAGCACCAACCTCAGAAACGGGGACTGCAAAAGCCTTTGTATAAACTGCAACTAAACTTTTGCTATACTGTTTCATAAGAAGTAGCATTTTTCATTTTGGTTGTTTTTGATGCTCTTTCTTTTGATTTCATATCTCTTTCGATTTATTATCTAACCTTTCAATTACCATAAACCATTCAGTGAAACCTAACAATTTAAGGTACTAGTTATAAATCAGTTGTGTACTGTGTGTTTTTGAATATTAATGGTTATTAATAAAATCGAATTTAGTACAATTGTATTGTTTTTTTCCAAATAATTCAAATTCAGAATAATAAATATTAAAATGTTGGGGATTTAAAATCAAATTAAGAGCAGCATCTTAGAAAGTGCACAAATTGCGACATAACCATGCAAAAGCTACACTACTGATACTCATACCACAGCAGCCGGAGCCTGATTACTGCCAGCTTCATTTTACTTTTAATATAATCATATAGTGAAAATTATGCTATTTTAGTAATGCATTAAATATAGTTCTAAGACCTTTAGTTATTAAAGTTTTAACGTCTGAAAGATTCAATATGTAAATATTGAATAATCAATAATTAGTTTATCTGTCAAAATTATGATGGATATTTTTATTATTCGCTGGGGTCTACAAATGAACTGGTTTAAGTTGATATAACACATTAATTTTCTTGCAATGTGGATATTACAAGCAAAACCCATAATGACGATGACGTTAAGCTTTGAAAAGAAGACAAAATGCAAGTTAAAATGGAGATGGAGTCCAAACTAAAATGTAGAATTCACTTTGAAAACATTCAATAGATTATAGTGAACTCCAAACAGAAATCTGTTGTATTTGCTGCATGGACAGATCATTTTTCAAAAAATATTTACATATTTACAGATAAAGTTACATATTAGTATATGAGCCGTTCTTTAAAATCATTTTAACAACTGTCTCATCCATTCAGCTTGTAAATCCATGTGTACCTTCTGCCTGTATTTCGTTTGAGGACGCCAGCATGGTCTCCCAGAGATGCTATTTCAAGGCACACTGCCGCTCACCCACACAGATCTTTCTAAGGAAGCTCCCCAGGTTCTCAACAAGGTTGTGGTCAGGGGATGATGGTGGCCACGTCATGATATTTTTCTCCATTTATGCTAATAGCAACCAAGGAATCAATGGCGTTTTTTTTTTGCAGGAAGGGGTGGTGCATTATCCTGCATGAATTTTTTATTTTGGAAGGCAGGATTCTTTTTATACCATGGTAGGAAATGGTCGGTTACGAACTCCACATATCTTGCAGAGGATATTTTGACACCCTCACGGTCCCTAAACGAACACACCACCTCACCTCTCAATATTCCTGCCCAAAGCATCACTCTGCCATCTCCCTTCTGACATCACGGGCTTATTGTAACACTGGGCATTGACCAGTTATCTACAACTACATTTATCTTTCTTATGGACATTTTTAATGACACTTGTAAATGTTCTAATTCTGTTTAATCATTCTGTTATGGGTTTTATTATTTATTTATTTTCATTATTTATTTACTCAGTTTTAGTTTTGTTTTACAAGAGCTTTCTTGCACTTGTCAGGCTTGTAAATAAGAAACTGTTCTTAATGCTTTGCCTAGTAAAATAAAGGTCAATGAATTATGAATGAATGAATGAATGAATGAATGAATGAATGAATGAATCCATCTGGAGCATCCAGTGCAGCACACTATTCGTCAGTGAATACAACTGTAAAAACTGAAAATTAGTCTTCACATATTTCTGTGTCAGCTGCTAATGGTGCTCTTTGTGAACGTTGAGTAAGGCTGGCCAAAATACAGCTTTACGGTGGAGCCTGCACTGAGAAGTTCTTGGGACACCAGAGACACCAGCAGCCCCAAATACCAGCTTTTATCTGACAGAATTTATCTGTGCTGTGAATAACTCACGAATCTTTTCACAATTCGACTATCTTCAGTTTTCGCGAAATATGACATTTTCATGAATCTTGCACCGCACTATTTCACGCTTTTCGTCTTGAGAAAGATCTTTGTTCGTCCCTATAACACAGGAGAAGTGTGACTTACAGCGCAGAACTACACCGCTCCTCCATCTGTGCACCTAATGGCTTCCTTTTTTTTTTTTTTTTTTTTTTTTAATCCTAATGGCTTCCTAGTTCGAGAAATCGATGCGCTTAGACGTATTCATAACGCGACTGCTGGGTGTGTGACGTCACCAGGAGCCAAAATGGCTGAAAGGGGACTGGTTTACCATAGGAGTAAATAAATCAGCGTCGGAAAATTGCATCTATCTCACCAACAATACGACAGCAACAAACTTGTTTATATCCAACGTGATTTCCGGGAGCCAGGAGATTTGTTTACCTGTCGTAGGTGGCTGTCATGTTTTGTTTACGGTTCAGTTAATATAGGGAACTCAGATACGCGGAAGCCTGTTAGCCACTTAGCCATCACTACAGAACAGAACTAATCTAAATATCACCTAGTTTGACTGGACTGAAAGAGTCTGTCGCTGGAGGGATTAATTAACTGTCGCCGTGAGTCACTTCATGCCCAGTGTACGTGTAATATATTGCGGTTACGTAGGAGTGTCTTACTTTAGCTAAGAATCTTAGCTGTCATGGTAGTTTACTGCTATGGTCATTGGTTACTAGCATGTGAACGTTCCGAGCTCACCGGGTAAATGATAAACCAGTTTCCTTAAGATTGTAAAAGGTGGTTTTCACGTCACGTCGCTGTGAATCGGTAGGGCTCGACGTGATTGCGGCTTTTCTCGGTGCTGATTTGGGGATCTGCTGACTGCTGCGGAGGGCACTTCAACTGAACCGTTTGATGCATCATTGGGTGAATCGTGTGTCTCGATGGCACAGGACTGACACAGGCACACACGCCAATACTTCAGAGTCTACCTGTTGACACCCGCACCCAACCCAAGATCACGGTATTTCATATTCGTAAACCGGATAGCGGGCTTGATTATTAGTTGCTTTAGGAACTGTCCCGCTTTAGGAACAGCTTCTGTAAATATGAATTTCGTAAAGTTGCTGACGCATGGCTGATTTCCTACCGACAGATGATGTCGGGGGCCGGGGGCAGAACAGAATGCATGTGGAAACGACACATTGCGGAACAGCTGAAGCTGAGGGATCGTGTGCAGAGGCAGGCCTTTGAAGAGATCATCCACCAATGTGAGAGCCAACCCCCTTACCTAGTGCTGTGCTTGCTTATGGCTCTGTCATACCTGTCATTGTGTTGTTTCATTTGCAGTCACATTAATCTTTTATTACCCATTGCAAATGAATCTGACTTGTAGTGTTTCTCATGGAGAAGAACTGAGGGAAAAAGGGGGCGTGTTCTCAAGAGCTGTTCTTTTGATAGATAATCGCCTGCTGGAGAAGTCTGACTTACAAGCTGTTCTGTCAGAAAGACTACAAACAGACAAATTCGATCTCCAGAACAAGCAGGACCTCAGGTGGGTTGGGCATGTGTGTGCTGTCTGCAGCCCCCGATCTGGCCACTCTGCTTCACGGTTTTTTGATTTCGTCCCACAGCCCTGGTTCTGATTCGAGCCGCAGTGATGCCCTCTTACAGGAAATTCAACAGATTCGAATTCGACACCAGGAAGAACTGACGGAGCTTCACAAGAAACGAGGGGAGGTCTGTCTGAACATTGTGTGTCGGCAACTTGTCTGAGCAGAACTTTTATCCATTTACACATGAAATCACTCATGTGGTTCTCATTTGTTTTTTTCACAGCTTGCTCAGAATGTGATCCAGCTTAATAACCAGATGCAACAGAAGGATAAAGAGATTCAGAGCAATCAGGTCAAGTACGTACCTCCAGTGCTGCACGCATGCGTTTCTGTTCGCGTGCGTTTCTGTTCGTGTGCGTGTTCCCTCTGACCTTTGAACTGCAACCCAGGATGCAGGAGTACCAACAGAGGATTGAAGAGCTGGAGGGAGAGTGCAGAGACCTGCGCACATCCCTGCAGGAACTGGAGCGAGCCAATCAGACACTGAAAGACGAGTACGACGCCCTGCAGATCACGTTCAGCGCCCTGGAGGACAAGCTGCGTCGCACCACCGAGGACAACCAGGAACTCGTGTCCCGCTGGATGGCTGAGAAAGCGCAGGAGGCCAACCGGCTAAACGCGGAGAATGAGAAGGACTGCAGGTGCACATACACGCACACTCTCGGCCTGCCGGTCCCGCCGAAACGGTTTCCCAGTTTAGCGTAACGCTGGGGGGAAAATTCCAGGTACGGAGACCATTATGGTGAAGTTACGGCTTTCGTTACAGACGTAGGCAGGCCAAACTGCAGAAGGAGCTCGCGGACGCCGCAAAGGAGCCGCTGCCCCTCGACCCGTGAGTGTTGCCGCGTGTGCACACTTAAGCGTATCAGTGTGTGTGTGCTTGTGGATGTGCACAGCAGGACATGTCCGTGTGTGCTACCCAGGGACGATGACATTGAGGTTCTGTCAGAGGAGGCTGCAGAGGTGCCAGCAGAGGGCTCACCCAGCCGCATGGTATCCCGGACCCCCAGGTGGGCGACGCCGTAGGGCCTGTGGGCAGGACAGTATTGGCTTTGAGTCTCTTCTTCATTCTGTTCTATTCTCCCTTCCGCAGCAAGCGGCAATCCCAGGCTCCTCCCCAAGCTGGACTCCTGGACTCCATCTCCAGCATGTTTGGGTACGACCCCCAACCCCGTCTGTGTCTCTGCATCCCTCCTGCGTCTGCTCTGATCCCTGTGTTCCCTCCTCCACAGCAGACGCCGCTCCGTGAACACTTCCCCCGAGAGCACAGACACGCACGTGGGGGTCTGCGCGGAGGTGCGCGTCCCATCGACGGCCCAGCACGTCTTCGTAAGTCGCCCCCCCTCGGTGTCCTTAACCCAGCGCCTCGGTGTGCCCGTCCGTTTAGACTCCCGGAAACACGTGTGTGTCTGCAGGACGCCCATGACGGTGAAGTTAATGCAGTCCGCTTCAGTCCGGGATCTCGTCTCCTAGCAACAGGCGGCATGGACCGCAGGGTCAAGCTTTGGGAAGTGATCTCAGGTAGGAGTGACAGCCTGGGGTCTGCAGTGGACTTGGGGGAGGTGCTAACGGCCACGTCACACCCTGCCCTCCCACTGCAGGTCGCTGTGAGCTGAAGGGAGCCCTCACTGGCAGCAACGCAGGGATCACCTGTATCGAGTTTGACAGTGCAGTAAGTCTCTCGGTTCACTGCGCCTCTTATGGACCTTCTGTGTATGTGTCCCTTCAATGCTGTCCTTTATAGCGTCCCTTGCTTGTCCCCTGGCCGGTGACGGCTCTGCAAGTCTCAGCTGAGTGTCCCTTTTCAGGGCTCATTCCTGCTCGCCTCATCCAATGACTTTGCCAGCCGCATCTGGACGGTGGATGACTACCGATTGCGGGTATGTTGTCGGCCGCCAGCTCGCTCAGGTGGCCGTCACTCTCAGGTGTGAGGGGCAGGTGCCGCTCAGTGGGTAGGGGGCTTCCTTTCAGCTCGGTGTTGTCGCCCCCCCAGCACACGCTGACGGGACACAGTGGGAAGGTGCTCTCCGCCCGTTTCCTGCTGGACAATGCGCGCATCGTGTCGGGGAGCTACGACCGCACGCTCAAGTTGTGGGACCTACGCAGTAAAGTCTGTAAGAACCTGTGACCCCGCCCTCCTCTCCACCCTCACTGCCATGATTCCTGCAGCCCACCCTCTGCTCCACCCTTAAGCGCTCTGGTTTCTGACACTCTAGCCACAACCTCGGTGATTACTGCAGCCCCGCCCTCTGCTCCACCCTCAAGCCCCCAGTGATCCCTGCAGCCCCGCCCTCTGCTCCACCCTCAAGCCCCAATGATCCGCACAGCCTCGATCTCTGCTCCACGGTCTTGATTAGCTCTTAATTAGGCTATTAAAAATGCTGCATCAGGTAGCACTTAGAAACATATGCATACAGCAAGTGAAATTTCTCCAGTTTGAATCAGTCATGCAGTATGGTACAATAATTAAGATACGTGGACTTGTAGTAATAATGAAAAACAGCGAAAAATAATATTGCCTGTTTGTAACATAGGTGTGATTATTATAGTATTTGCAAATTTGCACACATATCATGTGACCATAGTTTTTTGTTTGATTGTCTCTCAGGTATGAAGACAGTGTTTGCGGGCTCTAGCTGCAACGACATTGTCTGTACTGAGCAGTGTGTCATGAGTGGCCATTTTGACAAGAAAGTGCGCTTCTGGGACATCCGGTGCGTTTCATCATGCCTGATGGCTCTGTGTGCGTCTGGTCATGCCTGATGGCTCTGCATTGGTCTGGGCCTGCCTGACGGCCCTGTGTACCCTATGCTGTGTCAGGTCAGAGAGCATTGTGAGAGAGTTGGAGCTCATGGGCCGGGTCACTTCCCTGGACCTGAATCACGACAGGACCGAGCTTCTCACCTGCTCCCGTGACGACCTGGTGAAGATCATCGACCTGCGCTGCAACGCTGTCCGGCAGACCTTCAGGTAAGATCGTGTCAGTGAGGTCCAGAGGTCACGGGCTGATTTCCTCATTTGAGGCATCTCACCCTTTTCTCTCTCTCTTTTTAGTTCTCAGGGGTTCAAGTGTGGCTCAGATTGGACTAGAGTAGCATTCAGGTAAGGCATGCTGTGAGTGTCTGTGCCAGTGTCTGTGCCAGTGTCTGTGCCAGTGTCTGTGCCAGTGTCTGTGCCAGTGTCTCTGCCAGTGTCTCTGCCAGTGTCTCTGCCAGTGTCTGTGCCAGTGTCTCTGCCAGTGTCTGTGCCAGTGTCTCTGCCAGTGTCTCTGCCAGTGTCTCTGCCAGTGTCTCTGCCAGTGTCTCTG